CTAAGTAAAATAGGAAAAATAAGCCCAAGGGGCAAATCCTGAACTAAAGAGGCTACATCCAAATTAACGTGGATCATAGAGGTCTGAATTCCGTAACAAAATAGGCCTTGAAATTTCTTCATAAAATCGGTTAAAAGGGCTACCCCCAGCAAAATCACAAAAGGGCTTCGATAATATCAAGCCTCGAAAACTCTAATAAGTACAAAATTGTTCGAACTCTCGACCGGTTCCTTACTTCGTGCTAAGGCATTACAACCTTCGTGAAAATGCATGATAAACAAAGGGAAAACTTTAAAAGCAAAAAAGGATAGAAAAGCCTTATATATATATGATTAAACGGTCATTTTTCCAAGTCCGAATCGGCCTAATACAAAATTTACAAAGGCCTAAGGGCTACTTTCACTTCGACTAAAAGCCAAAGGGATACCTTAGTTCGAGTTCGAGCAGACCTTACTTCGAGTTCAAGAAATCATCCTCGCTCGACTAAAAACTTAAAGGTGACCTTATTTCGGGTTCGATCAGATCCTCACTCAACCACTAAGCTTAAGGGCTACGTAAATGCAAGTTCGAATAATCATTCTGGGTTCATCGATTGAAAACGGTCAAGGGGAAGGCTTGTTATCGGCCTTCACTGTCCCGAACCTCGAGTCCTCGAACGTAACTTCAAAATCTTACGCTAAGGCGTTTCGACCCTTACAAGAGATAACAACAGGGGGGGGGGGCAACAGATTCAAAAGCCATAAAGGAAAAAAGTTTCATATACTCATCAAAAGTTCTACAAGGGCCAAATGGCCTGATCGAAAGTTCTTTACAAAGGCCGGAAGGCCTCGACGGAAAAAAAATCATTAAGCCTAAATGGCATGATCATTGTCGGAGGAAGTATCTTCACCCTCGGAATCTTCTTCACCAGACCCACTCAAATCCTCGGAGTCTTCCACAGGAAAAGCCAGCTTTCAAGCCTTTGTTTCCTCTACCCTGACAATCTCGATTTCAGTAGACATATCGAAGCTTTGATCATAGGCCCCCTCAAGGGCCTCTCTTCGAGCATGCCACTTCGCATGGTCCACCATGCTCTTGGCCTGCGCTAGGGTAGCTTCAGCATCAACCTTGTATTGGGTCGCACTGGCCTGAGCCTTGATATTGGCCGCGACCACCTCAAATATGGCCACCTCGAGCTCTTTGGCAAGTTGACTGAATGGGATTCGAGCTCCTTGACCCTCTTTGCCTGAACCAAGGCATCCTTTCTCGTAGACCGAATCTGAGACTTGGCCAAATCCAGATCTGCTTGGACAACCCCTTTCTGTGCGGCCAATATGTCCTTATATCCCTTGAGCTCTTTAGCCTCGGCTCGCACTTTATATATTTGCCTTTGGAAGTCCTTGATTTGTGCGAGCCTCTGTCGGACCTACAGAATTGGATCGTTAGTTGTTATCTCCAACTCGTCCTCATTATCATGAAGGACTCAGAATACCTGCTCGGCCATCTCAGCATGTTCATCTCGAGCCGTCACCAAGTCTTCCTGCAGCTTCTCACTGAGAAGCCTGTAAGAATCGCATTTCTCAGTAAGGCCCTGAACCTCGGCCTTGCGCTCTTCTCGGATTCGAAGAAAGGCCTCATGATGCAACATCGAAGCCTACAAGGAAAGGAGAAAATGTTAGAAATATCTACGACTCAAAGTCATAAAGAGATAAGGGAATGACCCTTGAACTTACCCGGTTCAGAGCGTGCTGGGTTTCGTTGAACAAACAAGTAACTTCAACTTCATCCATCTTGGCTTGGTTCAGTGACCAAGCATCTAAGATAGCTAGCCACCCCCACGAGGGAAGAGAAAACTCGAGCTTCCTCCGGGATCGAGATAATGAGTGGCCGCTTACGCTCGGGATCGGCACTGGGGACCGGGAATTGGTTGGTCAGTTTAAAGCTCGAGGAAGCCTCACTCGAGCTCTTCCTCGGTACGTCCACATCACCTAGAACGGTAACATCTTCTACCTTGGTGAAATAACCTCGGAAGAAATCTTACTCTACATGACTCCCTCCCCGTGATAAGTCTCCATAGCTTGAGTGTCACATATCATCGAGTCAGGAACTGGAGGGAGCGAGGGGGAGTTCCCCATCTTATTGCCCCAAGTGGGTCTTTTGAGGCATCGTCTTTGTTATGGGGAGCCTCGGGCCCATTTTTTACGTCAGCATCGACCGCATCTTTGGTAGCCCTCCCATCTCGAGGTGAGGCATCTTCAGTTTGTTCTAGCTTAGGCTCATCAGATCGGGGCAAAGCAATTTCAGCTCCCGCCGGTCCAGTGGTTCCCTAAATCTAGGTGCCAGCTCGCACACGAGACACCAACCCAGAGTTTTCTTCTTCGTCAACTTCATCTTCGGTCTTGTCCCTTAGCTGTTGGACGGACTCCAGAGTTACATGGATGACATTCCCCTTGGGCTTACAGGGCCTCCTAGCCGGTCTTTTCTTTTTTGGGCCTGGGGAACTCGGAGCCTCCTTTCTTTTCTCCTCTTCGGGGCAGATAATGAAAGAATAGCCTCTTCTTCAGCAGAGGGGGGCCTCATTGATACATCCTTCCCCAGGCCTACAAAAAGGAAAAGATGAACAAGTACAATAACAAATTTCGAATAAAAACCGTTTTGAGGAAAGAAGATTACCATGGTTACAGGCCTCCCATTGACCCTTTGAAAACTCCATCCAAGAACGCTAGGAGTAAGATTTTTGTGACACCAATCCCTTGACCCATTGCCTCGGGTCGGGGATCACTTCCGGCACAACAACCACAACTGCAACACAAAAAACTTAGATAAGGGGAAGACAAGAAGCAAAATGGCAAAAATAGATATTCAAAGGCAAAGCAATACTTACGCTTCATGTTCCATTTTTCAGGGAACAGCAGGTCTCGGGTCTCATCTATGCTCGAGAATGGGGGTTTGGTGGCTCGATGATAAATCTTGATCATGCCTCCACGATAAAGTCGAGGGCTATAGAGGCGCATGAGGTAATCGAGGGTAAAAGCATGCCCCTCGATTTTGCTTGCAAAGAACAGGAGGAGGATCACGATCCTCCAGAACGACAGATGGATTTGACCTAGGGTGACATCATACCTCTTGCAAAAGGCATCGATGATAGGGTCTAAGGGAACTATTGTGAAAGGGTAGGTATAGACGCTCAGATACCCCTCAACGTGAGTTGTGATGGATTCCTCGGGGCTAGGCACTACTACATCCTTGCCTACCCAGTTGCACTCCTCTTTCACCTTCTTGGGGAGACCTTGTGTAATCGTACACATGTACATCAACATTGGTTCACATCAACCCGGTGTCGAGGGTGTATTCTCCACCTTAAAATCAACAGCAGTGGCACACTTCGTCAAAACAAAGTCCTCGAGGGGATGTTCCACCGCGACTGCGGCGCTGGTGGACTTTGATAAAGAAGCGGTTTCCTTGTGCGGAGCAATTTTTGAAGTTTTATCCATTCTTATGAGTAGAGAAGGATGAAACGGGGGAAGAACGCTTGGTGTTTTGCAAAAACAAGTAAGGAGATTCAGAGATCAGAAAATATAGAGCTCTGAAGAAGGCAATGATTTTGGAGATTAGAGTGAATGGGATTTGTAAATAAAGTTTGAAAGATGAAGAAAGATGTACTTATAGGTTGAAGACGACGGTTCAATACTGGTAGCTGCTGACCGGTAACTGACGGGCCTTAAATGCTTGGGGAACTGAACCGTCGGGACATTTCGGTTACCTCTGTCGCATATGTCACGATATTTACGTCATGATTAACCGAGGGGAAGTTTGAAGATTCAACTCGTTTTTTGTAATTGCACTCCAAAAAACGAGAGGACTGTCTGTATACGGACAAAATCGATCTTGCCTAATTTTGTATAACTAATCGAAATCGGGGTGGCAGATCAAGGCTCGGCCTCGGTTATATCAGACCATGGTATAGTGATGGATTGGTAAGCTCGTGGATCAATGGACGATCAAGATTGAGACCAGCCGTGGTCGAGATTGAATCAAGAAAGAGATCGAGAAAGATCGAAGGAAGCATGCTAAGTCGAACAACAAAAGGCCAAGATATCTGTGATCGGGCAAGGATCGTAGCGAAAATCTCGGCATGTATCAGTCAGGACCGATTATTTAGCCTATATGGGATTTGCTTCTGTAATTAGAATTATGCCATAAATAGGATTTCTCTACTATGTAAAGAGGGTGCTAATCATTTTGTAAATATCATGCATTCACACATAACCAAGCAATAGATTACGTTTTTTCTCACACATGCTTTCTTGTTCTGTTCTTACTTTTAAATAGCTTACTTAGTTGGTTTGAGGGCGATTTAGCTTAAGGGCCACAGTGGTTCATCACATTTTTTTTTGATAAAATTTTGCTTTTATTTCATCAAAAACTGGCTTTACATTCCCAGATTAATGCTGACCATTAATCTCCAAATTCACTAATACAAAGAAAACTATACACTACAGATCTTAATTACAAATACTATACTAAGGAGTATTTTTCAAATTTTCCAATTCTGCTCGCCATTTGATCTTCTTGCTGCCTTTATGTGTATATGTATTGCAATTTCTTTGCACGGGTCATCTATGTTGTATCTTCCTTTGTTGAATCTCATCGAGTTCCTTTCATGCCAGATGCAGTAAATCACCACTGCAAATAATGTTGTGATCATTTCTGCCCTGCAATCTTTCCTCTTTGCCATGTTGCATATCCATTGCAATTCATGCTGCCAGCTTCCTATCTGTCTTGCATTGCCAGTCCAAATCAAAACTCTTTCCCGTAGTTTGCTTGTACTTGGACAACCAAAGTATAGATGCTCAAATGTTTCTACATTCTGTGCACAGAATACACAGTCTAGCTGGACTTGAATTCCAAACTTGGCAAGTCTATCCACAGTTGCTATCCTTTGATGGATAGTCAGCCATAGATGGAACTTAAACCTAGGATGGATCTGTGTATGTAGATGAATACTCTTCCAGTCTACTTTAGGGAATTGAGGCTGTAGCTGTGTGTATCTGAAATTTTCCTTGCTTCACAAAACTATCCAGTGTGTTAATGAGACTGTTCTGAACTGTCCTCAGCTTCTGTATTTCATCCTTTGCCTCTATGATCTTCCTTACCACCCAAGCTGCATTTTTAGGTGTATTTATCTCCTCAATAGGTCTGTTTTTTATGTAGTAAATGTGAGCCCATTTAATCCACAAAGTATCTTTTTTCATAGCCAATGCCCAGAGGTATTTTAATAGGGCTGCTTTGTTCCATATCTTCACATCCAAACCACCAGTGGCTTTAGGTTGACATATTCTATCCCAAGCTATCAGTGCTTTCCTGGAGTATTCTGTTGAGACAATCCACAAGAAGGTCCTACATATAGTCTCTATCATCTTCATGATTTTCTTTGGCAATAAGAAGATTTGAGCCCAATACGTTTGTATTCCAAATAACACTAATTTTATGAGTTGGACTCTTCCTGAGTATGAAAGCATCCTAGATGACCAGCATCTAACTCTTTCTGTAATCTTCTCAATCAGAGGCAAACATTGATGAATGTTCAGTTTTCTTGCTGACAGTGGAACTCCCAGATATTTAAAAGGTATACTACCCGTTTCATATCCAGTATATTCAATTAGTTGTTCCTTTATATGCTGTGCAACTCCAGCAATATAAATAGAACCCTTTTATGCACTTGCCTGCAATCCTGATGCATTTGAAAACCTCTTAAAGGTCTCCTGCATTATAGTAATTGATTATATGTCACCCCTGCAAAACATTAACAAATCGTCAGCAAAACAAATGTGTGTCACTCCCAGCTTTTTGCACTTTGGATGAAATTTGAACTCCTTCTGCATAGTTAGTTGGTTCATCTCCCTTTGCAGGTACTCCATTGCAATCACAAAGAGGTAAGGAGACATTGGATCTCCTTGTCTTATACCTCTCTTAGCCGGGAAAGGTCTAGTCAATCCTCCATTCAGTACTAGAGAATAGCCCACTGTTGTCACACACTCCATTATCCATACTATGAATTTCTGAGGGAAGCCAAGATCTGTGAGCATACATCTAAGAAACCGTCAGTCCAATGAATCATATGCCTTCCTTAAATCAACCTTAAGTATACATCTTGGAGATAAGCCTTTCCTGTTATAACCATTGAATAGTTCATGGCTAAACAGTATATTGTCTACTATGCTCCTTCCTTCTATGAATGCAGACTGTGCTTTCCCAATGATACCTTCAATTACCTTTTTGATCCTTTTAGTTAGAATCTTGGCAATGACTTTGTATACAGTAGTACAGCAAGCAATAGGCCTGTAATCTTTGACAGATGTAGGAGCAGAAACCTTTGGTATCAAAGTTATGGCTGTGCAATTCCATGCTTGCTTCATCTTACTTGTTTGAAAAAAGAACATTACAGCATCATATACATCCTGTCTCACTTCTTCCCAATGCCTTTTAAAGAACTCTACTGGAAATCCATCAACTCCAGGGGCTTTATCATTTGGCATGTCCTTCACTACTTCATCAACCTCTTCACATGTCACTTTTTTTATTAGCTCCTGTTGTTGTTCCAATGACAAACACACTCCTTCTTTGATGAACTTTGTACTAGGGCATGGTTTTATCCCAGTGTCAGTTCCCATAAGCTGCTTAAAAAAGGTAATGAATTCTTTTTCTACAGCTTGAGGTTCTGTGACTCTAGCTCCCACATCATTATATACAGCAGTAATAGAGTTTTTACTTGATCTGATCTTCAACTGTGCATAGAAATATTTGGAGTTTGAGTCCCTATAGTCAATCCAGTTCACTCTTGCCTTCTGTTTCAGAATTCTTTCTTCTATGATATTCCATTTCTCTAGCTCCTGCAAGGTCAGCTTTTCCTTCTCAATCAGCTCCTGATTAAAGGGAGTAAGTTTCAAGTTAATCTGAGTATGTTCTTAGCTGAGAATTCTTTCAAGTTTACTGTTAATTTCTAATATTAATTCTCGTATTTATCAGTTTGTGCCAAGTGAGATTGCATATCCTTAAAACTACTTATAAGTTCAATTGTTATCCAATTTTAAGAGTGAACAC